AGTCCCACTAGATAATAGAAGTTCACGGAGTAGGCAATAGATCTAGACCCCGGGTTGATAAATTAAACTTACCCACTATTCTGCATTTCCATTCTGCGATTACACTTGGTACTAGTTTGGTGTTGTGTTTTAGCGTGTCAAAGAACAACTAAGCAATCATTCGAATCAACAAATAACTAAATAGAGTAAATAACGCATCACACATATGAAAATCAAACAATAGTGTCAACAAAATCATTGAGTTTACATGGTTAGAACCCCTAGGGTTCACATACCTACGCAACTAAGGAACTTAGCCAACCAGGGGGAGGGATTTTTGGATGTTCATCGAGGGAAACGAAGACTCCAGGACGCCAATTTTGCAGTCGATTCTCCCTCATAGGTGGTGTCGCTCTTCGCCAAAGTAACGACCCTTCGTTGACTTATTCTATACTATCTATGTTGTTTTTAAACTGGTTCATGAATTGCTTTGTAATTTGAGGGTACCTAATATGTTTTGTTTGAAAGTTGTTGTATTGAGACCCTTAGGAAAGGTGATATTAAAATAATATTATTTATTTGTCTAATATTTTTTCCTGTATTTCATGTATTAACCTTATTTAGCATTTTGTAAGAAGTAAAATGAGAAGAAAGGAGAAAGTTTTGGAAAATGCATCTGATGAGGAAAGAAAAGAAAATCTTGTTTGGTCAAATGACATAGATGTTGAGCTCTTAAATCTCTTACTTTTTAAGGAATGTAAAGGGAATAGACATGGTGGCTAGATTACTCCCCATGATTTAAACAATATAGTTCAGGCTTTGAGAGGGAAATTCAGGCTTTCCATTGACAAGACTAGTGTGAAAAGTAGGGAACAAATATTGAAAAAATCGAGTGGCAGATGCAGAAGAAATTTTTGACAATATGAGTAGCTTTTCTTGGACCCTATGACAAAAATGTTTGAGATTGAACTTAAAGTCTGAGACAGTTTTTGTCAGGTCAATAACTATAACTTATGATTATATGAGATTAAACCAAAAATGAACTTATTAATCTGTAAACATAAACCAAAATTATCACAAATCACTATCATGGACTTGACACAAGAAATAACAAACTCTCCCGAGGGACACACAAATGACCTTGTTGTCCTTGAATTGATCTAGGTGATCATACACGTGTGAACCCTGAGGTCTTTCTCCTTCCTATAAATACCAAGCCTTTTAGTCTCATCATGGGTAACTCATTTCCATCTCATGCACTCTACATTCATTCTCTCTCATCCGTTTATAGGATTTCTCTTACTCACTTTATCATCGAAAGGCAATCAAAGACTCAAAAACCTGATTTTTGCATTGCCTTGCATGTCATATAACCGAGAGCCAACCCACACACCAACCCATCATAATTTTTCTTCTTAGACAACGACTCAGATGCCAAAGTTTGATTGGGTTCTCCTACCGAGTTTGACCCAAAAGATCTCGCCCAGAACAATTGACACCTACCATGAGACCTCGCTGACAAACAAAAATCCTTTCAAAATACCATTTTTAAATCCAGAAAAGCTTTCCCTTATTCTCCAAAACATCATCCTCACGATGTCAGATCCCAAGAACTGAGTCAAGTGCAAGGCTCAACAGTCGGAAGTCAGTCCTCAATTGTTGAGAAAGATCCAGGTGTCAAGAGTCTAATTGAATAATTAAGGACTGAGTGTCGAGTGCCGAGGCCTTGACCCTAGCTTGGTTATTGTGATCTGACATCGTGAGAATGAATTTTTTTGGTGAATGAGCAAAAATGTTTTTGGTTAGAAAGTATTTTTTTTTTCACAATGAGGCCCCACCGTGGGCACTAATTATTTTGAGCGAGATATTTTGTGTTGAACTAGATGGGAGAACCCGATAATAATAATTTGGGTTCATAGCCATCACCACATAAGGGAAATCCTTATGGGTTGTAGTGTGGGTCGACTGTTGGTTAGCTAACATGAAGGCAACGCATAAACCAAGTCTTGGTAGATCTGGATTTCCCTCTAATGATCAAGTTAGTAAGGGAAATCCTATAAAGGGATGTGAGAGAAGGACTGTAAGGTGAAGGGGAAAGAAATGTGTTACCCATAATGAGGCTTGGAGGTCCGATATTTATAGGAAGGCGGGAGGCCTTAGGGTTTCCATCATGCCTGATCGGTTAGATTGAGTCAGTAGGTTTGATCCAAGGACGATCATGCCATTTACACGTGCCTCGAGATTCCCACATCTCAGACAAACACTACAGAGATCGTTATTGCCTTTTTCATGGGAACCACTCTTAGGGGAGGCAATTGCGAACTCAGAAATTGAATATAGAGGTGTCCCTTTAAAAAATTAAACTAAAATTAAAAAGATATTGAATAAGAAAATGTCCTAGTAGAACAAGTTACAAGAAAAACCTCACAGTGCTCAAAAATATCTTTCACTATATCCTACTAGATATTCAATGATTCCGCTACCACTACACACTATCCGAACTAAAGGCCAAGTGCAATCTATAATCGGGTGTAGGGTGGGATAAAAATTTCAATATCAACCTGGGGTCTATCCACTCTTACTTCAATTGTTCACAAGTTATCTAGCGATCAATTTGTGGTTAAAGCTAAGGAAACTAAACAAGTAAACAATCAAGCAATAAAACTTTGGTGAATTCGAATGAGAAAGGATCACTTAGACATGGCTCCCCCTAGTCTCATGTTAATATGCAAAGATTAAACACTAGTGTGATAGGTGGGTTCATATACCATTAGGAGATCAAAATTAGCCTATTCAAGTGTTTCCTAGCCCGCTTAATCGGTTAACTACGGCTTGCATAACCACTCCCTCGGAAATTAATTCAAAAATGGATAAAAGTAACCAATAAAGACGTATCATGGCACTTCTTCGATGATTGAAGGTTGACCCGAATTGGCCTAGAGAAGGTTACCCGAATGGCCAAGAGTGGGCTATAAGGAGATTCCTACTTCTAGGTCAACTTGTCCCTAAATTGAGGGCTTTGATCAATAACACCCAATTTTCATAAATAATACCTCAATCATTATATAAATCACAAACCCAATACATAAGATTTCAAATCTTACAATCTTACACATCCTTTCACAACATCCAAGTGAAATAGGAGAATACTCCATAAATAAAAGAGAAAATACACCTAGAATAGAGAAGAAAACTATGGAAAAGTGCTTCCTCCTCTTCCTATATGCTTGATTCAATCCTGGAGAAGAAATCTACCTCCCTCTACTCAATAGCTAGAAGAGAACCATAGCTAAAAGAGCAAATACACCTAGAATACAGAAGAAAACCATGGCAAAGTGCTTCATCCTCTTCCTAGATGCTTGATGCAATCCTTGGATAAGAAATCTACCTCCCTCTAGCATTGGGTAGGTGAAGTTCTCCTTCCTTCCTTCTTAGCTCGTAGGTCTCTCTCTCTAAGCCTTGAAGAAGAAGCTTCCAATCTCTCTCTAGATTCTAGAACTCTCCCTTTTTAAATCAACTCACTCTCTTTTATATAGCTCTCGAGTGCACATATCACGGTCTCATATCATGCCCATGAATTCGATAGTGAAATCGTGATCTCCATGCAAAATGTGTTGTTTCACTAACGAACTTCACGGGCTGCTTGTTGGCATCGCAGTTTGGGGACCGTGATCTTGACACTATCTGCAAGACATCCAAAGGCTCATGGGAGTGTGCAAACTTCACGGTTTGCTGGTCCACTTCCTAGTCTCCGCCCGTTATAATTGCTCAGCCACTGTGATCTTTCCACTTTTGACCGTTTTGCAAACCCCGCATAAACGAACTCCAAGGATAGTGCAAACACATTAAAAATTGCAAGTCAAGGGGTATAAAAGTGTGTAATCTGACCAAATCAATCATTCACGAACATATCACATATCACATATTCAATTTTGAAACTTGTTCTTGAATAAGCCAAAATCTAAAAATCTCTCCAAACGCTTGCAGTTGCTATCGGTAAAATAAATAAAACTTTGAGAAGAAAATAGAACCAAAGATATGATAGATTCACTTTTGTTCCATCATCAATTAAGCTCATTCATCAATTCCTTTTAATAAATGGAACAACTCATCATTTTTAACCCTATGATAATAATCCTCAAAGTAAATTAGAAGAAACAAGTCAGAAAGGTAACAAACTCTTTAGAATATAGTTGGGATAAGGGGTAGCCCGTGGTCGTTTATAATTATATTTATGTTAAAACTACAACATAAAATGAATTGTAGCTTATGGAAAACAAGTTTGTCTATAAGGCGACTGCTGGGAGTGGGGAATTTACTATACACAACTTGATGGAAGAGTTGTTTGTCACCACACGCTCTTATCCCTTGGGCAATTAGTGACTTAGGTTGGGATGATTAGGTTGTGCGGTCCATTAGGCGAGTCTATCTCAAAGGCGGCCATTGTGAACCTCCAATATCTTTTTGCCCGAGACCTTAGGTATTTTTGAAGTTTATAGAGATTGAGTCATGCTTGTAGTCTGATTCAGGTTGGGAACAATTTTTTGGGTTCTTTAAATTCTGGTTGCTCTTGTTCAGACCGTTCAAGTGCTTTTTAATTCCTTTAACATAAGTGGTTTTTCGGACCAATCAACCCTCGGGGGTTGGGGTTACAACCTGTGATTAATATGCAATAAAAAAATTGAAGCGAATAGCACTAATGTAATAAAGTTTTGTTAGTTCATATTTGTAAACACAACAAAATGTGAAAAAATATAACAAAGACCAATAATTCCATCAATAAGGATTTTGAAAAGTAGGTGAAAGTTCAAAATCTAAAAAAAGCCCATAGCATCAGAAGAAGACAAGTGTGTAAAATATTTGCGGAATTGTTAGTCATTAGTAGGAGGGACAAAAAAGAGGAGACAAATAAGTTGAAAGATAAAGAATGAAATGCAGGCAACCACTGAAAATAAACACAAAAAAGGTGAAAATTAAAAGGTTTCTCTCTCTCTCTCTCTCTCTCTCTCTCTCTCCAATTGAGAAAAAATGTGCAGATGAAAAAAAGGGGGGAAAACAAAATTCTTTCTCGGGAGCCAATTTATTTTCTGGGAATTCTCTGCTCCCCCCTCTACCTCTCTCTTTCTTCATCTCGCAAAATTTTTGTCCCTGATTTTGATAATATACTCCACCATCTTCTCTCCTTTTGGTTCAAATTCTTTCAGATAATTTTGGAGCTCGGCGATGGTGTAAATTGATTCTAATGCGGTTAAACCATGATATTGTGCGTCGTTGCTATCTTATCCTTTGATCTTGGTCTCTCTGCATTTTTAATCCCGACAAGGGGCCGAGCTTTCTGAATTCTTATTCGTTGTTGTTGTTGTACCTCTGAATTCTTATTCCTTATTGTTGTTTTTCCTCAGTAATCATCCAATTCGGTTGCTGATTGTGGGGGTCATTGTGAATTTTTGGATTGAATATCAAAAGTAAAAAAAAAACTAAAGTTAAACGGGTGATTTCCTTTTTTTGAAACAATTTTGTTATAGAATCATAGAGATGACTTTCAAAATTTAAATCATTTTTGTATATTTCCTCAATATTTGGGAGGAAGAGCTATGAACTAGAGTCTTGACGAGCGATGGATCATCTTGTCGGTGGGAAATTCAAACTCGGTCGGAAGATCGGTAGTGGATCTTTTGGGGAGTTATACATTGGTGAGCATATGCTTCTCCTGATTATTCTTCTTTGTTTCTTCAAATGTCATTTGAGGAATCATTTTTTCCCTTTATTGTTGTAATGGGAAATTCTCTGCCTTTATTTTGTGTAGCTGTCAATGTCCAGACAGGAGAAGAAGTTGGTGTGAAGCTGGTAATGAGAATTTTGAACACCAAACTTAATTTTTTTTTACATTATCCTTTCTAAGTTTATTGTTTTCATTAATGTGGATTTTTTTGTTAATTGAAATTTGAATGGCAAAATCTTTGATGGTTGTTTGTAATGACATTGGTGTTTCATTTCCATTTCAAGAAATCTTCGATCTTTTACATCTTACTGGTTTTCTGGGAAATGAAATAAATCTATTGTGGAGATGTGAAATTTTTAGATTGCATAATTAAGGCTCTATGATTCTCCGTTTGTAGTCTTTTGTCTTTTGGAACCGATGGCAAGAAATTAGATAGCTAAACAAGAGACATTGGCATTTCAATTAGGCTCGCACATAATAGTGTGTGATATCAGTTTAAAGTGAAAGCAATAGACTTGATTAGAGGAATTTGAATATTTTTATTTCTAGGTTTATTGCAATCACTCAGTTTAGGGATGAGTGTGTAATCAATCCTAAATTCTCTATGAGTCAATATCATTGTTCCTATATGGTCTCCATTCTTAAGTAGTACAAACTGTAGCCATTATGGTTATATTGATGAGGGGAAATACTATGGTTCATATGCTTTACTTCCCTCTCACTCTTAGTATTTTTTTTTTTGTATGGTCAATTCAAATTTCTTGCTCTTGGTTGTCTAGTATGATCTCAGTCCATTCCTACTTGTGTTTTGTTGAATCAGTATTTTTAGTTTTTCCCTTAACGGTCCTAATAAAATTCCTTAATCGCAAATAAGTTAGTCCTTTCAGTGATTTTCCTTGCACCACTTTTTCCCTATCCTTTTCTCAAGCTTTCATTTTGTGGTAGATTCCATGATGGGTGATTTCATACTACTTAATGCCATTTTGTTTAGAGAAAAAATGGTGGCTCTCTTTTGTACAGCTTCCTCTTTCTTCTTCTCCTTGCAACTTTAAGCTAAATTTAAATTCTATTCCAAAAATTCCCCAAAATTACAAAAACTTTGAACTCGTTGTCCTTCTTTTCTAAGTTTCAACCTCCTTGTCTTTTTCTTAAAAGTGTTGTTGAAAGTTTTTGGAACCTTGAACATCGACTTGCCAATATATGTAATTTATATAATACATTTCACTACTTTCCTCTCTTATTAAAGTACATGTGATCTTGTTTGTAGGAGTCTGTGAAGACCAAACATCCCCAGCTACACTATGAGTCTAAAATTTACATGATTCTCCAAGGGGGGAGTAAGTTATTTTTTCCTTTTCATATGAAGGAAATTTTCACTGTTAGCATGATAAGAAGGACACTGGAAAATTTTGAGATTGTTCGTATATGTTGAAATTGATTTGGTAAATGATCAACTTTTATCATGCAGCTGGAATTCCTGAGTTGAAGTGGTTTGGTGTTGAGGGTGACTACAATGTCATGGTCATAGACCTTTTGGGGCCGAGCCTAGAAGACTTGTTTAACTACTGCAACCGCAAATTCTCTTTAAAGACAGTTCTTATGCTTGGAGATCAGTTGGTATATATTTACTCACTTCCATTTCCATAATTCTTGTCACTTTCCTCCATTCATCAGTTAAGTTTATGACCATATATCTTTATTTCTCAGATTAATAGAATTGAGTATATGCACTCAAGGGGTTTCCTGCACCGTGATATAAAACCTGACAACTTTCTAATGGGTTTAGGACGCAAAGCTAATCAGGTATGTTTGCACATACCATTTGTGCCTTCTATTGGGATTTATAGTCCACGTTCTTAGTATGAACTAAAAATCTTTTACATTGACCCAAGGGGTTAGTCTGCTATTAATGGAAGATGAGAAAGCTCCCATCCCAACATGTGGTTGAACTTTTTTTGGGATCAATATCGCCAAAAAAATTATTGGTTTTAAATAATTGTGCATAATGATTAATATGTTCAGATGATAGATTGTTAAGCTATGAGAATAGGTTGAGGAGGGATACTTGTGGTTGATATGAGTTCTGACTATCATGATAAACATGTTTGCTAGTTTTCTTACTTTGAGCTTTATATCTTTATTATAAGCACTTCAAACTTTTTGGAAGATGTTTGTGTCTAGTATATTAACGGTAGGGAATGAAAATTTTCTTATTCCTTCTTCATGCTATGCTTATTAGTTGATTTAACAGGTGTATGTTATCGATTACGGGCTTGCAAAGAAGTATAGAGATCTTCAAACTCATAAGCACATACCATACAGGTAATGTATCTTGACTTGTCTTTCCCTTCGTGATACTAGTCTGATCCATTTTTAATGACTCATCAACTACCTTTGTTGACCCGTGGGAGCTTAAAAAGTGTGTTTTTAGCACGCAATGATCTTCTAGAAATCCTTTTTGGCTATAGTTGTTATCAATGGAAGTGTTATGGGACATGTATTCATTAGGATTCAGATAAACGTCAGTGACTATCTACTGATCCAAGACGATTTCCATTTTGAGCTTACTGTGAAATTATGATTGCAACATAAATGCATGAAGAGCAGTTAGGATAGTACATGTTATGCTGGATATCATATCCCCGCTTCTCTTACATGTATAGTTGTCACATGTAGATGTGCATGTTCTCTGCATTTTCCTCGATGTGTAAATAGACATAAAATAATGGTAAGATTTTGTGACATTTTTTTCTTCATTTCAGGGAAAACAAAAATCTTACGGGCACAGCTAGATACGCCAGTGTAAACACGCATCTTGGAGTTGGTAAGTAATGTCTTGTTTTATTTGTCAGCTGTTAGTTATGGAATTACTAGTTTATCCCTATGTCTTAGTGACTCGGTTGCAATCTAATGTTGAGTTATGTTTCCCCTATATTTTAGAACAGAGCAGAAGGGATGACTTGGAATCCCTTGGATATGTACTCATGTACTTCTTAAGGGGAAGGTTCGAAACATATGTCAACTCTTCTTTTTATTACTTTTATTTTCATATGCACACCAATCATTTTTGTTTCTCCAACGACATATTTCATTGGTTATGAATGAGCATACTCTCACTTCATATCCTCTTGGCATCAGTCTTCCATGGCAGGGTCTAAAGGCGGGAAATAAAAAACAGAAGTATGATAAAATTAGTGAAAAGAAGATGTTAACACCAATTGAGGTATCATTAATTTTAACTTAACAGATGTTGTGACACCCATGTCTATGTGATTTTTTCTCTCTTGGTTACCACAGTGTACTGTAGATGGAAAAAGTCGTTCATTATTTGTAAAATATTTTGACAGGTTCTGTGCAAGTCATATCCATCAGAGTTTACATCATACTTCCACTACTGTAGATCCTTAAGGTTCGAAGACAAGCCTGATTATGCATATTTGAAAAGGCTATTTCGGGACCTTTTTGTTCGTGAAGGTGAGTAAAAGAGTAACTTAATCAGATAAGGGTCCCCCTTTTGGTGCAACATTAGAAACCGTTCTTGGCATGTATAATGTTTGCAGGCTATCAGTTTGACTACATATTTGATTGGACCATATTGAAGTATCCTCAAATAGGCTCCAGTTCTAGACATCGGGTCAGTGATTCTTGTAGTCCTATGGGGTTCTTATTTACTTCATGTAATGTTGAATAATTTGTGATGTTCATGTGCTCATTGTCATTAATGTTGAATTATTGACGATGTTCCTATGCTCACCGTCGTTCCTTCCCCACCAGGCCAGTGGAAAAACAGGAGTGAAACCACAAGCGACAGGTGAAAAGCCAGAAAAGCCATCAGGTGTGTCCCTTCCCAAGATAGGAAGGTATATCATAATACAATGAAAATTCCAGTAATTTCTTTCAACTCCTTGGTTAATGATGGGACTCAACTAACAAGTCATTGGTTTCATTAGGTTGGGTTTATTTATGAGAGTAAATATAAAGTTTTTGTTTGGTTAACAATTCTTTTATGTATATGAAGTACACACAATTTCAAATACATCAAGATAATGTAATTTCAAGTAATTGGAGGGTAGAGTTTGAAAATGCACTCTAGAATCAAGAGGAAAAATAAATGTACTCTAAAAAAGTAGGTCCTTTTTATGACTTTTTGAACACAATTTCGTAGACAATATTTTTACATGTACGAGTTTTTCAGCACACAAACCTGACAAAGTTTTTGGAAGTACACCTCACAGGATAGCACCCAATATGACTAGTTACAACGAACCAAACATGCATTGATATGTTTTTATTGTGTCAACTAGGTGATTTGCCTCTAGGTAGATTTAGGTGGTATGCACTATTCAATTTTATGCTTTACAATACATCTCGAAGCACAACATAATAATATGTCTAACATGATTTTTCCTTTTGGGCTCATGTGCTTAATGCGGAGAGACCAGAGACTCGTGAAAGACCAATATCGGGAGGCGTAGATGCTTTAGTTAGTAGAAAGAGTGTGTCTAGTATTGGGTATCGTGAGCGCTCAAAGAACAGGCAAGCAGAGGATGGATCATCCTCCAAGGACAACGTAAGTTTGCATAAAATGCCAATTTTTCATCCTTTTTCTTGTTGTTTTCCTATATTCTAATTGTTTTGTTTGGACTATGCAGTAATTATCATCACTATGAAATTGAATTTATTGATTTAATGATAAAAAGTAATCAAATGTAGATTATGAGTGTGTCTATGATTCACCATTGTTGCCTTATGTAAATGATTATCAATGAATTTGCAAGTTTTAATCAATGTTTTTTAAATCTTACGACATTGATTTTGTAAAATGAAAATTAGTAACATTCACAAATTCATTGTCAAGAATCTAATGATGATATATTTTCAAATTGTCATTCCAACATAAAAATAAAAAAATGCAATATTATATCTCAAATTTAATTACAATATTCGTACAAGCTACATACACATTCACAGTTCAATCTTTTCCATCACTTTTCTTGCCCCTCAGCGATCTGACATTGAGAAAAGTCGGCCATCTTCCTCCCGAAATGTGTCAAAGAAAGCAGTAGCATCCTCCAGTAGATTGAGCTCCTCAAACGTAGGAAGTGAAAGTCGATCAAGTTGGCTCTTCTCCAATAGCAGCCGCCTCTCAACTACTCAGAGAATACACTCTGGTTCTGATACAAAAGCCCCATCAACCTCTCAACACCATGGTGGCACTCTCCGAGAATCAACTCGCGATCAACATCAGCTTCGTAGCTTTGATAACCTTGTCATTGATGCTGATCGGAGGAGGCGATGAAACCAATTCATGGGAACTCATTTGTACCTTCCCTAGCACCTACGGTTCACTATTGAGAATTCTCATTCTTCTCCAATCTCACCTATATATTCATTCACACCACTTATTTGTTGGGGGGAAAAACAAAACCCCCAAAGAAAAAAAGAAAAGAAAAAGAAAAGTGGATTGGGAATAACTTTCTAAGAAAGCCATTGATTGAGAATGTGGTGGAGGCTGTATTTGCAGGTGTTATTATGCTCTGCCTATAAATGTAAAGTTGTCAAAAGAGTATCTAAAACACGTCTTGGTAAGGAAAAAAGAACATTCCTGGAGATCCTGCCATGCTTGACATCCTTCTGTAATCTTGTGTTATTGCTTTGTAAAATTATTTTCCTTACATGGACCATTAAACTAACTATCATCATTTGTATTAAACTAAATTTCTTTATACTACAAAAGCGTTCAACTATAATGCTCATGTTGAACTATTTTGATAAATTTCTTTAAGTGAGATAGAAGATTTTAAAAGTGCATATTGTTTACCGTCAAACTTTTCACTATTTGCCACTCACTTATTTTTTTAAATAATTTTTCCCTAAGTCCTTTTCTTTAAAAACTACTTCATCAACTTTAGATTTCCATAAAACCAAAAAAACATGAACTCCTCATTCTCCTATTGCTCAAGAAATTTGAAACACGAAACACACCAGAAATTCGTCTAAAAATCAGGCCAGAGCATGTCGGAGAAGCTGAAAGATGTTGTATTTTTTCCTCCGCCCTCCTACATTATAGTTAACCACTTCAAATCAAGTATTTGTATATATTTCGTCTAAAAAGGGGGCATTTTCTCTTAAGGATATGTTGTGACAAGGGTGAGATACGGTGACAACCCTTTTTAGGGTTGTTATTTTCACAACCCACTTTATCCACCATTAGATTCATTCTCTCGTCAACTCCTCCAACCGTCGTCGCCTTCCTCCCGACGGCGCCGCCTTCCTCCTACTACCCTCCTCCGACACCTATTCCCATCCTCGCATCCACAGCAGTCCCGCAGCACCTCCGCCCCTGTCGGCTGCCCCCTGGCTCTTCACACCGTTGCCTCTGCCCTTGTCGCTGTCGTCTCGCGGCGCTCTCCGCCCCTGCCGCAAGTCACCCCCCTGTGCCCCTGCCATGAGGTCTCTACCGCGAGGTCATTCAAAAAAAAGATTCATTCTCTCGTCAACTCCTCCCACCGTCGTTGCCTTTCTCCCGACGGCTCCGCCTTCCTCCTACTACCCTCCTCCGACACCTATTCCCATCCTCGCATCCACAGCAGTCCCGTAGCACCTCCGCCCCTGTCGGCTGCCCCCTGGCTCTTCACACCGTTGCCTCTGCCCTTGTCGCTGTCGTCTCGCGGCGCTCTCCGCCCCTGCCGCAAGTCACCCCCCTCTGCCCCTGCCATGAGGTCTCTACCGCGAGGTCATCGATTCCCCCTGCCACTAGCCTCCTCTCCTTACCTCTTCCGGTGTGAGTCCCTCTGCCTCTTTGTGCCTCCTCTCCTCTCCACCTCTTCGTTTTTCAGATCTGGTTTTTTTCTAGTGGTACTGATTTTCTAGTGGTAGTGGTACTGGTTTTTTTACTGGTAGTGGTACTATATGGAGTGGTAGCTGGTAGTGGTACGATACCACTACCAAGTATCAGAAGGCAGTGGTACACTACCACTACCCGGTACCAGATGGTAGTGGTACCAGTGGTAGTGGTAAGTACCACTAACGTACTGACAAAGTTTTAATTTTTTATAGGTGGCCGGAGCGAGTCGTATTCAAGGATCTTGCCGGAGAAAGTCTACTAGTCGGAGTGGAGTGGCTGCTTGAAAAGGAAGAGAGAGATAGGAAGAGAGAGTTGTATTTACTGTAGGATTCAAAATTTAAAAAAAAAACATGTATTTAATATGGGTTTTTAATTCCCAATCTATAGTTAATAAAAAAAATAATTAATTAATTCGTTTTTTTTGTCATACCCAAAATACCCTTGGTTGTCAATCTCACAACCCCTTTGGGGTTGTTACCGTATCCCATCCCGTTGTGACAAACAACCAGACTGGAATTGTTGGTCGGAATTAATCGGGTTGGCTCGACATATATGGCTGGCAGCTTCCTAGACCCCCCCCCCAAAAAAAACAGTTCCAAGACCTTGTAAATTTAAAAAAAATACAAAAATAGCACCCAACCCATACAAATTCCAAAAATAGCACCATTTTTGTTAAAAACCGCATGCCAAAGGGGCGGGTTAAAAAGAAACCGCCTCGGTCTCGTAGCGACCTTCATTTTATGAAAATTACCACCGACGTAACGTACCCCATTTTCGGTCTCTTCCGTGTAACCATTCCACTGTAACCCAAGCGTGAACTTTTGGAATGTCATATACAATAAAACCATAATTTAGTTAATACCATAAAATCACAAATCACAATAAAAAATAATACAAAATAAAGTTACGAAGTAACCTTAATCGCAAAAACTCTAAAAAAAGTAGGGTGCACAACAGACAATTAAAAAAGAATAAGGAGAGGGGTGAAGAGCTGAGTTTCCAGGGTTGCCTTTTATAGGCAAAATCATCATTGAAAACCGCAGAGGGAGGGGGCGATTTTCATCTACCATGCAGCCCCACGTTTGCATGCCCCTACATGGCATGTCGTATGTCGGGGAATGGGGACGACACACAAACTGCAGGGTGGGGGTGCGGTTTGTGTGTCGGCAAGGCAAACCGCTTGTTGAAGGAATGGTTTCGGTTGAAGACCTAGAACCGCTCCCTCAACAGGCGGTTTCTGCTAGGTCATCCACTAAACCGCCTATCCCAGTGGCTGTACCCACACAGAATTTTAACTACATCCTCAACATGCGGATCTTCCACAAACCGCCTCCCCTAGTAGCGGTTTTCGAAGAATGGTGCTATTTTTGGAATTTGTTTTCGACAAATCACGGGAGAGATCCATGGTTTATAAGTAAGAAACCGACCTTAACTAACAAGACGCATTTTTTGGTGAAATGGAAGAATTCTTGTAAGAACTCCGACGTTAAACGTGCTCGGTGTGGTGTACAACAAGGATGTGTGACCTTATAGGAAGTCACCTTGAATTGCACCCCAAGTCGAAAACCGTGAGGGTCGAGGCCCAAAGCGGACAATATCTTCGTCGAGAAAAGGTTCGGGATGTTACAAGTGGTATCCGAGCCTCTCTGCGTCCCTCTTGAACGATGGTGAGGCAAACCTCAAATAGGACGTTGAGTCCCAAGGGGGGTGTATGTAACACTTTAGGCAAATCCCACATCGGCAAAGCACGGGAGAGATCCATGGTTCATAAGTAAGATTCCGACCTTAACTGAAAAGACGCGTTTTGGGGTGAAATGGAAGAGTTCTTGTGAGACTACGAAGTTAAAGGTGCTCGGTGTGGAGTACAACAAGGATGGGTGACCTTATGGGAAGTCACCTAGAATTGCACTACAAGTCGAAAACCGTGCGGGTCGAGAACCAAAGCGGACAATATCTTCGTCGGGAAAAGGTTCGAGATGTTACAAGTGCTATTTTTGTAAAAAAAAATAATAGTGCTATTTCTGGAAAAAAAAATCCAGAAATTTCCACTTGTCTTCTTGAAAAATGGGCTGCTATGGACATATTCCCTTACCATCCAATGTGTGGGGCATTCAAACTTACTCATCGTTGTTTCGCTGTTGACCTTTTGGTATTCACCGATGCTTCGAATTATGGTATCCAAGAGTTGTGTAGGGTAATTCATAGGTTCCAAATAGTTTCTTATCTAAAGTCTAATCCTGTGAAATGTGAAATTTATTTTGGTGTGTTGGATAGAGATGAAGCAGTAATTCTCACAGCTCGCTATGGATATCAACATAGATCCTTCCCCGTTAGATACTTGGGAGTTCCTCTCATCTATGGGAAGCTTAGTTAGAGTGGTTGTAGGCCTTTAACTGAGAAACTTGTTGCAAGAATCAGAAGCGGGCAAGCAGAATCACTTTCTTATGCAAAGCACAATTGAATTAGTTAGGATAGTTCTTCATAGTCTCACTCAATTTTGGATGTCTATGTTTTTGCTTCCTAAGGGGTGATTAAAGAAATTGAAAAGATCTATAGTTATTTTGTTTGAGGAGTAAAAACTTATGTTAAGCTTCGAGCTAATGTAGTGTGGAATAAAGTTACTTATCCCAAAAAGGAAGGAGGTTTGGGGCTAAGAAATCTTCTCTCTTGGAACATGGCTTGCATGGTGAGACATATATGGCTGATATTGATGAAATAGGGGTCCATTTGGGTTGCTTGGATTGAAAAATACAATTTGAAAGGTAGGGAATTATGGGAGTATACTAGAAGTGCAAGGTCTGGGTCTTGGAATTGGAGGAAGATCCTTAAGCTTCGAGCTTCTGTTAGACATTTGTTTGTTGTGAGGGATGGTCAGGTGTTTTGGAATACAGATCACATGAAGAAGTACTCCATCAAGCAAGTATGGGATATGGAATGTTTGGTCACTCTCCGTTAGTCTCCGTTAATGGAGTTCGTTAAGTGCTGACTTGGCAAATGGAATTGCTTAGTCAGTCGGATTTAACCCAACCGATGCGACCTCGCTCACCCCACATGACGTCACTTGATCTCAAATTAGATCTCTACATGGATCATGGGTCAAGAGATGATTTAAGAGGTTTAAAGAGATTTTGGGAGCATTCAAGGTGGAAGAAAAGGGCTACGAGTTTGTTGATGTGAAATTGATTGGCAGAATATATAATTCTCGTGGTCCAAAGATGAAGGTCCGAATACGACGATATGAAGATCAAATGAGATCACTCTTGATGGACGTGGATTTTCTACAAGGAAAGCCCGTCACATTGCTACTAATTATGGACCAGAATGAAGTAAAGATGGGCTTGGAGGAAGGAGAAGTGAATTCGACATATAAGGAAGGAAGATCTCCCATGGTGTGAAAGGAATACAAGTGTGAAAGGAACCATTGGTTTGAACACATGGGAGTAGGGATGGCAATGGGTCGGGTTTTTCCAAACCCAAACTCAAACCCATGGGTTTATCCGTCAAAAAAACCTGGGGTAAAACCCATTGGGTTTGGAAAACTCAAACTCAACCCAACCCGCTGGCTATCTGCAGATTCATGGGTACCCATGGGTTTTTGTGGTAAAAAAAATACAATAACAAGTTCCTATCAAAATAACATTCAAACATCAATTTCCCCATACAAATTATCCATACATAAAACACCATTCTAGAAAATTCAAACAAATCACAATTACACTAAATAAAATCACACGGAATAATTGTAGTGAGAGTTAGATTGGGGGAAATTAGAATTAGGGTAGGGTTTGGGAAGAGTAGGGCGATGAAATAAATGTGGGCGTGTATCCTTAAACCCAAACCCAACCCGGTGCATAGTGTATGGGTTTAAACCTGAACCCGACCAAAAACTCGTCAATGTGGGTTTTACTCGCGTTGACCGGGTTGGGTCAGGTAGGATACCCGTGGTTTCGGGTTTTGTTGTCATCCCTACATGGGAGGGGGCATATTTGAAGGCTAGATTCTTGGAGAGTTGTTGACTTAGCCTTTACTTGTTTATTCTTTGAGATCACTAATGATGAAAGTTGATTGATCCGTCAAACTCCAATTGTCGGAGTCGATGAAATAGCTTTCTTAGGAAGACACACACTTCCAAACCTATCCTCCAACCCCGCTGGCTCGAGTGTTCCGGTCGATGGCCCACCACCTCCTCCACCAACCAGGATATGGTCCACTAGTTGGATTTTGGAGGATGGTCCTCCATTTCTATCCAACGGCCCACAAATGTTGCCTTTTAAATTAAAGGCTCAGATCTATTAGGAAAATAAACAGTGAATTATGGGACCCACGACCTGAAAAAGTAATTGACAAGTGGGCATTTATGTTTAACAAAATGTAAGTTAATATATTATCTACAAGTTGTATAAGTATATTCTGTTTTAACAAAAATCATATTTGTATTTGTATTGAACAAAAGACATATTTGTATTGAACAAAAATACACATTAGAAAAACATATTTGTATTTAACAAAAAAATATTGCATTAAATAAAAAAACATATTCCATATATGTGATTTGTATATTCGTAATTTTCACAACTTTTGACAAAATAATATACCACGTATTAAAAATAATATTCTTACTAAACACAAAACATATTCGTACTGATCCCAAAACATATTTATACAAAACAGAAGTCATATTCAACATTTCTCAGAACTTGCATTCTCTACTCTCTCGTGTCAGCTCCTTTTCAGTCCGCGAACCCCAAAAACAATTTTTCGTTAGCTGCTTTTCAATTGTTGGCTTCACTCTCCACTACTACTTTTTTCTTATGAAATGGACCATTTTTATGGCCCATTGAATGGAAAATGGAGGGTCATCCTCCAAAATCCAACGGGTGGACCATATCCAAATTCCTCCACAGCTTGCTCAGCGTCCTATTCACGCGAAGCCGCCGGCTGAGTGACCAGTTGAGCACGAACCACGTGATGGTCGAGCGGCGAGTGCGGGAGAAGCTGAACGAGAGATTTATAGTCCTCAGGTCGCATGGACAATGCGTCGATCTTAGGGGACACAAGCGAGTACCCTGAAGCAGCTGCTGCGAAAGAAGATTCATGAATTGGAGGCCAAGAACAGCCAGGTGAAGGCCGCCGAAGGCCAGGCAACAGCAGAGATTGATCAAGCCAAATATTACACCCAATTCATAGTAAAAGTACTGGACGAGAGAGCAGAGGCGCGGGAGCGCAGCCGTGGCTATAGCAGAGAAGCCAAGGGGAGGGAAGATGCTGGCGCCTGGCGGCAAGCGTGGTGGTGTACAGCAACTGAAGAAGAAGAAAGACACTGAATACAATATGGACTCTAAATCGCTGTTGAATATGCAAAGACAGTTATAGCATACAGCAACGGAAGAAGAAAAAAGACATGGATTCACAGTCAAAATTGTGGAGCTGCAAAGGAAGCTTCTCGCGTGGAATTATATTTACATTCGAGAGCTACAAGATGGGGAAAGATGTACAGAGTTCTGGGGCTAATACAGCATCTCCTGGGCGCCGTTGTTGCCCAGCTTTTCGACATCTTCCTGCGACAGGAGTGTTTTTCGACCAGTTGTGGAGCCGGTCTTTTCATATGGCTGAGCCATCTTTCGAAGGAACTGCATCGACAAAATATTTTTATCTTAGAGAGAATGACAGTTCTTTGAAATGGAAAAGGATGGCGTTAAAAGAATGAAAGAACAAACCTCACGAGCTATATGTAAGGCCATGTCTGTGCTCAAGTTAAGGTTTGCGTCGCGCAAATGTGATAGTATCCACCCAGGCAGCTTAGACCGCTTGTCGTGACGACTATATCTGAGGGGTCAAAAAATGTAGAGACAAAAGGAATTAAGCACCAAAAGGCAATGGGGCAGGCATGCCAGATGCTACCGCATGTAAGATGCGGGTCATATAGGGTGCTTCAGCTCAGTTCTCGCAGCAGAGTAGGTCGAACTATTTGAGTATGCGACTCAAACAAAAATAGTAGCACAAGATCAGGATTGGTTTGGTCAAGACTACCATATTACTGGTGAGGTTAACGGTTCAAAAGAACCGTTATTTTTCAGAAAACCACCCTCAATAGTCGAATCATTTAGCATCAGCACGACTTACTACCATTTCACTCAACTTTATTCCTTGCTCAACATCAATATGTCACAACATGGTCATCTAACCGTCACCCAAATCTCAAGCTCTGACTATACAGGAAGAAGGCACTTCCACTTGTGTGCAGAAGGCGGAGATGAAAAAGAGTAAACTTTAAAATATGTACCTTTTGTCAGCAAAGATCATCATTCCGTAATCAGCCTTCGAACGGATCACACGGCCGACACATTGTGCAGCTTGTCTCTGATTCAGATTTCTATCTGTTAGTTCTATATTCATTACATCTATCTATGCCAGAGATGAACCATTACAATCCACCAAATGAGAAATTACTTAGATACGAAATAAAAAGTAAAGAGTCAAATACCAAGGCATCAAATGTCAGGAAATCGCCTTCCTTTATTTGAAATGTATCCCTCAGATACTCCAACCGTGCACGTAATATTCTGCAGGAAAATGGTCAAAACACTTAAAAAACGGTACATTGCTTGCTAAAGAACAGTCGAGTACACAAGGCAACTAATATGCAAGCACGCAGATCTTCCTAGCTCAACAAAAAAAAAATTCTAAGAAAACTAAAAAACTGAGAGAGGTTTCTAAATACATTAATTTAACCGTACAGGTAGCTGATAATAAAGATACTTGAAAATGAACCATATTCAGAATACCCTTGATGCTCATTGGCATTGTTACTAAATTATTTAGTAAAATCCGACATGTACTAGCAGTCAAAACTAAAGAGCAATTCACATGAGAAATCCGGAACCAAAAGAACTGCGACTGACAAGGTCACACTTACTTGCTTTCTGTGTACTGGAAAGGAACACCAAACATGATTACTAGTCTGCCATAATGTCGATCAAAATCAATTCCCTCGGCTACTTTTCCCCTGCACATAAATTGTCATCACATGAGAACAGACCTGGATCTCGAAAAACTACAGTTTCAAATTACAATAAACTAACCACCCCCACTCTAGCTCCTGCACTCATTCAGGCAGTCAAAACATTAATACTGCTGACAATTGATCACTGCATTCATAACTCATCCCCTCTGACTTGCACTCCCTACAACTCCCAGACTTGCATCCATCTAAAAGAATTATAAGTTCCAGTAACTAACTGAGAAACCTTAATAACCATCACATCTTTGGTACCAGCCATCCAACATCAGAAGCTTAATATGGAGCCAAATCATACCTGGCAACTGAGAAAAAGACAGCACCTCTACCACAATCACAAGCCCTTCGGTAGTTGTCAAGAGCCAATGTGGTTTCCACAACATCCTGAGTCTCAATAAATACAAGCTTATGCTGCATTATGTCCTGCAATGAACCCAGTATCAGATTGGATGCTAGGAAACTGATGAATGCATAATTTTTTAGGAGGGGAAAACTGATTCAACATGTTGAAGCCTAAGGATACTGATTGTAGACAAAAATATATATAAAGAAAGGTAAGCAGATGTTGTCGTGCAACCCCATGATATAATAGCAAAACTAGTATTTCACCTTCAGAATTCCACTCTCGTTCCAACTGTTGATAATTCCATCCATGTACGAGTAACTGACGAAGAAACAAACAATTCCATCTGGAACAATAGAGACCATCTCCACCAAGAGCTTGCCATAATTCCTTACAACACCCGGATCACTTCTCATGTCAAACTTGGTACTGACTGGAAGTTGATCACTGCCATTACAAGATAAACCCAAAAAATCCAACCATATTATCCACTTCTTCAACCTCAAGCACAGAACATATATATTGCTGAAATGTTATGGGTGATGTCAAGAAGGAATGATATATTTGAACTTTTACCTTCCACGAGTGAGAACCATCGGGCAGATGCAATCTCTAGTTAAGGACATTTTAAAGCTACGGCTGACGACTGGATGGAAGTTGAGGAGTCGGGGGTATAGATCAATTGGGCTAAGAGTTCCAGAAGTTATCACAACTGACTGGAACCGGTCAAAAACAGGTTTGATAGCAAGTGAAGCATCATGACAGCACAGCTGGAGCAAGATCAGAGAACACGAAATTGACAAGATGCTTTAGCAAAGAATAAATCGTTGAGAGTAAAGAACAGATAATCAAGAAGCACCGAAACTAACTGATGAGGCTAAGCTAGCCTCAGAAATACTGACCATGTATATAAAAGAAAAGACAATAACACAGTCTGAAATTCAATAACATATATTATTTCCACCTAATTTATCTCTTTGAAAAGGTATCAAAAGCCAAAAACAAGCAGAATAAATTAGTTGTGCACTTGACTATAGTGCATGTCTGTGCTGCAAATAAGAAAGCTTCACGGCAAATACAAACACATAACATGCACAGGGGGGAGAGAGAGAGAGAGAGAGAGAGAGAGAGAGAGAGAGAGAGAGAGAGAGAGGAGACCTGCAATACAGGATCAGGGATCAGTGGCATTCTCTCATCAAAAGGCTCAATTATTATGGAAAATCCACGGGCATAGGTCCCAACAAGGGTTGCAAAGTCGCATATCGTTTGGATGTGGAGGAATTCATCTGTATCGGTTATTTCCAATGTCATTAGAAGGGAATGTAAGCGATCATAGCAAAACTTTAGCGCTTTTTGATCGATTCCCGCATCGGAATTGATAGAGGCCACAAAGCTAACGGGACTTTCTTTTTCAACTTTATCTGTATCCAACTTGACTTTCAGATACTGGACCAATCTACGCAAGACATGCAGAAAATGCTCAGCTCGACGAATATTCCCAGGAACTGCTTGCCTTAAAATATCATCAGGCAATGCAGGGTTGGCAAGCCAAGCATCAGAGGCTGCAGAAAAGCCATAAACCCATATGAAACTGATAGACAGAAAAAGAGAGATGCAATGAAATTGAGCAATATCCTTTAATTACTCAACATACCAGATAGGTCACCTCTTAGTGCCAAACCCTCAACAAGGCGGTTGTATTCAGCTCGCAACCTACCAGCATCAATGTCCTTGAACCTTCCTACCAGTCATACAATCAAATCAAAAATTTAAGTCTCGGAACTTGTTAAGCTAACAGGCTAAAGGGAAAAGAACAACATAAACAAATAGATAGCCTTCCTATTGACCCAATCGAATCATTTCTACAGAACAGAATGAGGCATTTAAACAACATAAACCTACCCTCGCATTTCCATAATGAAAACTTGTGTTTCTGGTACAAGGCCAGTAGGCCACCATAGTTCAAGCATGTTCCATGATGAAACACTGTATGAATGGTACAATTAGTCATACCTGTCAATCTCGTTCTCTATCCTAGAAATATTTCTTATAGCTCCTTCGAGGGTCTGCCTTCTGACGCTCACGCTAAGTGCTTCAATGCAGACATTGTCTATGTTATGTGCCTCATCAAATACAACCACAGACTCCTTTTGCATTTCTTTGGATATAATCCCTGCCACCTTTGGGTCAAGCAGGTACTGATAGCTATAAACCACCACATTTGCAAACTGAACCATATGCCTTGCCAAGAAGTACGGACACCAGCCTTTCTCTTTCCCAAAAGCTCTTAGATCCTACATTCATTACAGGAAAATGAAAAGGCCGCAGAATGACAGACAAAGGCGTGAATCATTTAAAAACAACAAACAAACGAGTGATGAATTACAAATGCTGCAAATGATAGAAAGATTCTTTTCTACCTCAGTGACCATAATGTATTAGGTGGCAACTAAATTCTTCTACAAACTTCAGCTCAATGATTAAGACTACCGTAGATGATATCCATCTTAATTTTCCAAAGAAGAGATCGAAGTCGGAGTACCTCTAACGTATACACTCCTGCAGGCAACACGGCACCACCCGCTGCTCTATCATAGTTCTCATAGAACTCACAGGTCGGCTGATTTGGATTTTCAGCGGCCATAGATCGAACCCAACTCGCCGTCAGCTTCCTACAAGCAGCATCGACGGAATCCCGATTCTCAGCAGACGAAACCTTCGGATTGACACAAAGATTCTTCCTCGACGACAAGCCGATCGCCAACATCTTTGCAGCCGCCCCTAGATGCTTAACCTGGTAATTATGCAAGAACTTCAACTCCGCGAGGGTTTTCTCCATCTCGTGCACCGTCCGCGTGCAGTAGATTAGCTTGATTGGGCTCTCAGTCTTAGCCAGAGCGTAGCTCGTGATTAGAGAAAGAAGTGCAATGGTCTTCCCCGTCCCTGTAGGCATTTCCAGAAGGCAATGGCCCTTCGCATCTAGGGCTCGCTTCAGCTCTACCATGTACGTGTATTGCTCTGGGTAGATGTTGTCATACGGGAAGTAGACTGTCACCTCCTCTATCTGGAACTTCATTATTGCTGATCCTGCGCTTCTGGGAAGCTGTGATCGCACCAAAAGTGAGAAGATCAAGCGACGGCGGACGGGGTTTAGAAGCTGGAGGTAGTCTCGCCGCCGATTTGAGACAAACCCTGGGCTCCAGCGGAGTAGCGCTAGCTTGAAATGGGAAAAGATTCGGGGCTTAGTGATACTACTAAACTAATTCCAGGCGTTGATGCTAGAAGCTTCAATCCGACGGTGGTAATATTTTGTGATTTAATCGGCGTGGACCATAGTTGTCAAGCCATTGTTTGTTTGAGGTTAAATAGTAGGATTGAGTTCAACCGTTTAAGTAGGTTTAAATATATTTAATATACTAGTTTTTTATCCGGCCGGTTGGCCGGAGAGATTTATTTCTTAATTTATATTAATTAACTTATTTATTGTTTAAATTATTTTGGATCTTCTAAATATTTTGTGTTCTTGATTCATAAAAGAGTTTGTAGTATGTCTATATTGGAAATTTTCAATATTTAGCACACTCACTTCTGATGCTTTGGTTTTCTAATCATAACTAAAGTTACTGTCACGTCCCATTTAGAACTTATGTCAAAATTTGTCAACCAAAACACTAATATTTAGCGTACGCCAACCTGAACCACACACATATATGTATGTATGTGTGTGTATATATATATATATGGTGCCTTCTACGGTACCCCGGGTGAAATCCGCGGTACCGCATACCTTGAGTATGGAACGCTATCTACACCTCGAATTAGCAGGATTTTTGGGTATGATAATATACCCTAACACTTAACAAGTCAACCCTAGGTCCTAATTATCTAAATCATAAACTATAAACCCTAAATGGTGCATTAATTTTTTTGCTTATATTTGGACGAATCATAACCGTCGATTATTGTTTCTAATTAAATTATTCTTGGGGTATAAGATTTAGAGAATTAAAACCTAGATTTTTATCTTTAAGGGTTAGAGTATAGTTTCATGCCCGAAAGATCAGTCAATTCAAGTTTTGGATAGCGTTTTCTAACTCAAGGTATGCGGTACCCCGGATTTCACCCTGGGTACCGTAGAACTCGCCATATATATATATAGGGCAAAGGCTAGTGTACGCCTGGACGTACCCTAGCCTACCGTACGCCCGTTGAGTTTTGCTATTTAGACAATGAATTAATCAGGGTTAGGGGCATGATACTATACCCTAACCCCTAATGGGTGAACCCCAGTCCGCAATTCACTAACCCAAAGCATAATATTCATTTAATCTTGAAATAAAAATCAACGGTTCTGATTCATCGAAATTATTGTTGATTTTCATTTTAAGATTAAACGAATCTCATGATTTGGGTTAGAAAACTAAGGACTGGGGTTTATCCATTAGTGGTTAGGGTATAGTATCATGCCCAAAACTTCTGTTAATTCATGATCTAAATAGCAAAACTCAAACGGGCGCACGGTAATCTAACGTACGCCCGGGCGTACGCTAGCCTGAACCATATATATAGCTAAAGCTAGCGTGCGCCGTGAGTATGCTATACTCTTGCGTTCACAATACCATACGACCATTGAGTTTTACTATTTAGACTTAGGAGTTTTTTGGGGCATGATACTATATCCTAACCTTTAATAGGTGAACCCCAATCCCTAATTCTCTAACCTCTAATTTATGCAAATACTTTGTCATACCTATCTTCTATCGTATCTTGAGTAAAATCAAAAGATAGTATACATTGATATTATATATATGTATATATGTGTGTATATATATAGTAGACTCAAATTTATCCAGATACTTCGTCAGACCTATCTTATCTCGCCTAATACTCATATTAAAAGTGCTACTTGCCTATCCCCCACCCTCGGGATAGAGATCCCGCTTTTACCCCCATAACGTCAGACAACCATTAGGGTCGTTTGATATGTAATATATAAAGAGGCAAATCCTAAGATCCTGCTATTTATTTCTCATCCTCTTCCGTCGCCCCCTTTATGGAGAATAAAAGGGTAGGGATGACAGGTTCATAACTCCATATACTTTTATTCTATTCATCGTATCGCTTCCGTCAAATTCAGGCGTTGGTACATTATACTGGGTGGCAGCTTGACTCGCTAAAACACAACTCCTAACAATGGCCAAGTGTAACCAATGAAAGGGACTGCAGTATAGTGGCACAAGTAATAAATATCGAATCCATGGGTCTCTAGAGTTACTATTACTCAGCTTCAATTCATTATCTAGCAAAACAGATTAAGATGAAAGAACTAAAACTACTCTAGCAAACTACAGTTAAAGTTAATCTAATTACAGGTTGGGAACTCACTTAGGTATGATTCCCCCTAGCCACTAGCCAGATTAACGATCGATGATTTCTAACTTGTTTCACTTCATTCACAATGCGGAGAATCCTTGACTAGACCTTGAGTCTCGACTAAAGGAACAAGGCCCTCTTGAGTCAATTGCCTAGAGGGACGTATCCTTCTCTAGAACAATCGATCAAGGCGTTCTGAACTAGACTCCCTCTATCGAATGAGGTTCTCAATCGATACAAAGCAGTGAATCAACCCTCGACTAAAGCAATCGATCCACTACTATCAATCTATGGTGCTCTATTGACCTAATCAGGTATTCGCTCTCATAGGATCAAAGCAGAATCAATAATCTCGACTAAAGCAGAATTGAATCGTGAAAACATGCATAGATTGAATATGAACTCAAGATTATCAAGTCAGAGTACTCATATAATCATCCAATCAAACAAACATAGCTAGGGTTCCTCAAAACCTAAGTGAAGGGAAGTTACTCCATAGAGAAGAGAGAGACTGCAGTAAGAATCTTCAGATGATCAGTCTTCAAGTCCGGGCTTGATTCCCGAGCTCCAATGGCGAAGAAATCCTCCAAAATAGCTCCAAGAATGTTCCCAAGTCGCTCTCTCTCTCTAGGGTTCGTCCCTTGGGTGTTTGGGATCCAAAACCCAGCTCTCCCCTCTGTTTGGCTCGGAATCCGCTTAAAAACCAGACTTTCCCGACTCGCACGCCCAGGGTGCACGGCCGTGCACATCACCATTCTGGCCGTGCACTCCAAAACGCGGCGTATCAATAAGTCGAACCTCAACCAACTCGCACGGCCAGGATTGCACCTTGCACGGCCGTGCGTGGCCACGCACAATCCCGTGCGTGCCCACGCACAATCCCGCACGGCCAGGCTGGTCACTTGCACGGCCATGCGTGGCCACGCACAATCCCGTGCGTGCCCACGCACAATCCCGCACGGCCAGAATTATATGTTGCACGGCCGTGCGCCTCCCTGGTCTGCCCGTGCAGCTTGCTCAGCCTCTGTTTAATGCTTCGTTTCTCCCTCGTCCGGACTCCGAATCAGTCGCCGTTTGATCCCAGACGCTCGTAGTCTCGTCCTCTTTCGTTTCATAACAAGCTTGCATGATTCTCTGTCCATAAAGTGAGGTAGAAATCCATTCTTCTTCAGGTCATGCCCGAGTGTCTCCTCCCAAATCGTCAATTGATCTCTGATTGACTTGAAACTTGCGCCTATGCTTCACTTTATGTGCTAGGACCTGAAATGTGACAAAGGAACACAACCTAGCGTAAAATCGGCCAAAGACACGGTAATTCAAGCTCAAACAATCAAGAAACAAAAGGGGAAAACATGTGCAAATACCGAGTCATCAAATCCCCCCCACACTTAACTGTTTGCTTGTCCCCAAGCAAACCTAACTCAAACCAATGCAACTCTCCAGATCTCTATAGCAACAAACAACCTCGATCGTAGGTAGAGGACTTCCTAGATCATTTAGCAACTTACGAGGGCAACCAACGCACAAGTCATCTCATAGCTTCTTCGGCGAGAGCACTAGTCTCGAGTCAGCATCATGGCAAATAGTGAACAGAGGACAAATGAATCGTGGATGAAGAGACTCTCAAAAACAAAAGATCATGGACTCACATTTTTCAAGGTGCTCGATTTCCTTCTTGAAGATGGTTGGAACCCCTTTTCTTTCTTCTTTTTGCTTGTTTTTCTGTTTTTCTCTTTTCTTTTTTCAAGGGTTCCAACCTGTTTTTGCAGAAAACGGGGGCTCCCACCTAGCAAAGGTTTTGCGGGAGCCCGGCTCTTACCGGCCATGCCAGGAGCAGTTGTCTCGAGCCTCGTGCGGGGGAAAGACATGTAAGGGGGCTGGAGGTAGTAGGTGGAAATTGGGAACGGATTCCCGTCTCCCCTTACACACTTTCGCCCTATTCGCACGGGAGACGTCATTTTAAAGCACATTTTCGAGCACCTGTTATATTCAAAACATGATACAAGAGTCCATGACAGGCAGAGAGTCCACAACACCACACAATTCAAGGGTCCTAAGATCACTAATTCACTCAATCAACCAACACACTATGAAGAAGAAATGAGACTTCTTAAATGCATCAACATCCTCCATAGTGCTACACTACCTCCCTAGGTTGCAAACCACTACAGAGACTATCAATTCAAAGCATACTGAGCAGGTAATTGCAAGGAACACGTACTTGGAGCCCTCAAATTAAAAAATTTGGACAGTGGACTAGGCTCCAAGCACACAAACAGATCTAATAACTTACCCGCATACGTAATCGAACACCCCCCCCCCCACACACACTTAAGCACGACATTGTCCTCAATGGAGGAAAGATAAGGAGGGTAGAACAAAGTTACCAGATCAAGGGTGAATGGCGGTGGACGAGGCAGGCGGTGCATTCCCTGAGGAGAGAGTGGTCGAAACACAAACACCACACAAAATCTCGCAAAGGTTGAGTTATGGACTCTAAAATCAAAGAACAAAACTGACTCAACCGAAGAGAAATAGGGAAAGAAATGCAAACCGACTGGTTGGGTTGCCTCCCAACAAGCGCTTCTTTCACGTCGTGAGCCGGACGATGGCTCTTAAGTTTCGGTCCACCCCAAAATCTCCTTGAAGTTGAGGTTCTCGTCAATGAGGTGGAGTCTCAAGTCACGAGCATGTGGTATGACAGGTGATGGAAGCTCGTGCACTTGATGCAGATGAAGTCTCCACCCTCGAGACCTCTTCTTCTCTTCTCTCGTCTCATTGCCCCAAACCAGATATGACAACATCGATTGGCCACCATCGCGTCCACCAAGAGGGACCGATGTCGATGTGGCCTTGGTCTGGCAAAGAGACACTGCAAATGGGTCCTTGCC